CATATTACTGATAATATACAAATATTGCTTCTTGGATTCTCTCTAAAGTATTCAATAGTTTTGTTAAAAATTCCACCCATTAAATATAAATTATTTTGTTTAATCGCCGATTTTAATAATATTTCTCCACATATTACAAAATAATATTTTGCATTTAATAAATAATTAATCAATTGCTTTTTCGATTCATTGTCTGATGGATCAGCAAGACATTTAATTTCTAAAGAATTTAATTCGCGATTATCATAAAGATTGAATATAACATTACGTAGAGTCTTTTGAATGTTCTCAGGGATTTTGTCCTTTACATACTCATCAACCACTTCCATTTTATCTTCAATTGAAGAATATTTTTGATCTATATCTGTAAATATATTCTCATCATCGTCATGATTTTGACTGTCATCATAATCATTCATATGATCTTTAAATATGGAATTTCTCCAATCATGCTTTGTTATATTAAAAATACGAAGCTTTTCAGGTGATACTACAAAAATCCTTTGATCCTTGAATTCGATATGAACACTTTTATCAAGATCTTCAAATTCTACTAATTTATTTAAACTAATGGAACCTTTTAGGTTTGATTTCCAAAAATAAATATTAATGATTTTATTATTTGATAATGTAATCATGAATTCATCATTATTGCCGACGAATTCAAATTCCTGACAATCTAATGAACAAAATAAATTAATTGATAATCAGAAGTTTTAATAATACATTTATAGAAATTCATACCAGTATCTACAATCCTTCCAATTGGAAAATTTATGTGGTCTCTGTTATTGGAATAAATGTAATGCGCATCAGCAACTTCCATAATAATTAACTTTTTTGAGAACTTGAATTTCACTTGTTCAACATTTAGATTCTGTTCCTACATTATAAAATTATCATTATTAATATTATTCAATTTATAACAAACTATAAAAAAAATCACACTTACAAATAGCGAAAACTTCTGAAGTTTAAAAGTTGCTAAATCCAACAGGAATATTAAATCATATGCCATCATCCACATACTATCGCTTCTAAAACCGCCAAATTTCACATTTTTTTCATTGAAAACATAAAAACCCTTGCGAGAAAATTTATTCTTATTTGTAAGTTCATAAATCAAAACTGTTGGATTTATTGCAGTGTTAATATTGTTCTTAAATGTTACTATATTCCCGTTTTCAAGAAAATTTGTATGACTGTAATCAAAACATTCATCTTTAATTTCAAGATCTTTATTATTTTTCAAATCATGGAATTTTGCTAAACATGAAACGTATGATAAATTAGCGTTAAACTTATTTGTCAATTTAGAAGTAATAAATTAAATTTTAAATCTTACCTAAACCAGTATAATTATATAAAATGATCTTGTTATCGGAGACCTTGAAATCACTAATACCGTCAAATTTAGATGACTTGGTATCTTTACGAAGATCAAACGGTTCTGATTTGGTATCAAGAAGCCATCCGACAAATGAATTATCTTCTTGACTATATGTTAAAACATACGTCAATCGAGGTGATATTGCCACATCAGATATTGATTTTCCATTGTGTGGCGAAGTTGAAATAAAACTGATCACATGATCGCGAGACATATCGGTTTATCTTAAATTGTCGTTAATTACGTAGAACAATGAAAATGACTAATAAATCATTAGAGCGAAAGAAAGGGTAAAGTTTATTTTTGATCCCTTTTATAGACAATGTACTGATCAACATTCATAACACCTTTTAACTTCCAAAACGATTTTTGATTCTTGTCGATCAGTCGGATTTACTATTTAAATAAATTAATAATTTTATGCATACTAATGCATATTTTTACAAATTTAAAATCATTCATCCATTATCACTCAATAACATATCTCTGTAACTTTTGTAAACTCACATGTAATTTAATAGACGATGGTAAATGTCATAGTTAAAGCATATAATTTGAGCGTATTATGGTCAGTCATACCAGTGCTAGAAAATTAATAGAGACCAATCGTAAATGAAATGATATAAGTTTCGTATGTTAAACCATAAATTAGATAATGTAACGAATTCCGCTGTTAGGCCTGGAATTGTACCGAAACCAAGCTAATGAACCGAATATCTTAACGATTTAACAATCATGACGATTTATTATCACGATTCACATATGTAGTGATCTGATCCTTGTACAGTATGGATACAAGAAGATTAAATCTGGTCCCAAGACTTATCTCAATCTATGAGTAAAAGCTCTGTCGACTTAAGGCCAACTTTTATCTCTGTCGATAAAATTCTAAACTAATACTAAGCTACGTCTACTTATAATAACAAATAAATAATTAAAAATGATTTTAAACTAAATAAATAAATATATTCGATACATCATGTTCATGACATAACAATCGCAGTGTTACATTATCTGAGGCGCAGTGCGATTCGCAACCTAATGAATTAATAATAAATAGTGTGTACAAAGTGAAATTTGATATAAAGAAATCTTGATAAACCGGAACTAGCCAAACAGCGTAAATTTTTCTTGGAATCAGTTGTACCAAAATAAATTTGACATAATCATTTTAACGGGACGGGTCAAAGTTCCAAATCAGCTATAGTTCGATATGCCGAATAATATTAATTACACGTGATTGTGAAAATCTTTACCTTTTTGAGCTTTTAATATAAAATTAATGTGATCTGGTGATTGCTTACTTTAAACTGCCAAAACACGAAAAAAAAATGTTACATAATTATTTTAAAAGGACGCCAATACAAAGAAGTACTAATAAAAAAGCACTACCTTTCCAAGTTCTCAGTCTAAAAAACCAAAGATCTAAATAGCTAGAAACGAAAAAAAGGAAAAAACTAATAAAATAAAATAAAAAAATTACGATGGGAAACGGAATCAGTTTTAGGAATCGGTTTATACTGAGCGCGAAAAAAAGTTTACGGTAGAGTTTGGACTCGAGTCAAAAGGTTAACTCGAGTCAGAAACTCGAGTTAAAGTCATAATGCGGGCCGGAAAAGAACAATGCGGGCCAAAAATTTTTGTGACAATTTGGGGCTGAACTAAAAGAAATAATATGGTTTGCTATTAAAATTGAGTTGCGAAGATAGTGATTATATCCGTAACTTCCCATATATTATTAGAGATAGGAGCTAATTAAGGTTAGTCATGATAATTACCGAATTTGGTTATTAGTGCGAGCCCGATTTTAAGATCGGCGAAGCTACAATTTTTTTAACCTAAAAAAATAATTTATTTTAATGTCAAACGATTTTTTTTTTTTTTTTTTTTAAGCCATCATTTTCTTACCCGATTGAAAATGATTAAATATTAAGTTCTGGAATATAATCAAAACCGACAAGAAAATCTCTTTGAATATCAGAGTGTGTATTTCAATTCTGAAAATCCGGTAATTCATTTACATTATTATGAATAATAGATATTGCTCCGTAAGGTCGAGTCAGGTCAGGAACTCGAATATGTTAACATTTATAGAATTCGAATTTGACTCGACACGATTATAACTAAGCTTGGATTCGTCTCGAAATTTCTTAATTTGCAATTATGTAAATAAATTGATAATTTCTATTTATATCAGTAATTATTACAAAAAAATAATCCTTCTTTATAAATAGTTAAGAACCTAACTTCAGAATATATGTTCGTAACTTGATTTTAATAGCATATATTCAAAAATGATAAAGATCAAAGTCATGATGATTATCCCAGGTCAAGCAAAGACATCTACAGGTTGTATTAAATTTGGTAGTTATCAAAGAATAGAGGTCGAAATGTATCGAAATCAAGATAGCATAATGGTCTTTCGTATTCAAGGAGTTTTCTTGCTAAAGAGATAATATTAAGTATTATTAATATATTTGTGAATTTATATAATAAATAAATCAGTAAGATGAGATCGTCTAGATCAAAGATGAGTATTATAAAATTTACTAGTAAAAAATTTAATCACCTTTTTTTATGTTTCAAAAATCCTTAAACTTTAATCAAATGTAGTAGGCCCCTTAAGAATTATTTTATTTGATCGCCAATTTATTTATTTGGTTTCTTAAAATTTATCAATTAATATCAATCTAACTAAATTTGATTAATACTATAAATGTGTGAGAAATTACATTGAAAAGAAGGGTTTCATTATACGTATATATATATTTTATAAAATAAAACTTACTACATTATGACAATATATTTTTATATAAACATTACCTTTTGTTAATTACGGACTCCTTAAATCTTAAATTAATCAGAAAAGTGAAAAGAGAATGATTGTTAGAGTTTGGAGTCTTTAAGCTTTGGAGTACTCTTTAGGAAAAGGTAAGGAACTTTTAATTTTTTATATATAATAAAATATTAATTTCTAACGACTTTCCATTAACAATCAATTTCTTTTTCAATAACACCGTAACCAATTCCAATTCCAACAACTAATTCATAAGGTATAAATGTAAACATAAATTTATATGTATTACGTTTATTATTTATTTTTTGAGTTTCTGACGCAACCATTAAGTGTACCCACTTCTCTGTTGACTAACGCTAGAATCACATGACGAATTCTTCTTGACAAAATAATATTTAAGGGGTGATTAATTTTTTCTATAATGGCTTTACCTATGGAACGAAGCTCACAGCCGCTTTCTACCTAACCCACGTCACGAAGCTCCAATTTCATGTTAAACCTTAAACTCATGGCAATTTCAAACTTAATCAAGATCTTGTTTAAAGAAATTTGGTGTATCAAGATCCTTTTAGTTCTTAGGAACGTAAAAGAATTGGGACTTGAAACAATTCCATTATACGACTTTCTCAAAAATTTACTCAAAAACAACATAGTTATCTTGCTGTTCTTATACCAAGCCATTATTCCTGAAAACAACAATTGTATTCGAAGGATCCAGTATTAAAGACAATCGCACTTTGGATATTTCCAGAGATGATAATCTAGATAAGTATGGAATATAATCTTACATTTGCAGAAACACCAACACGTATATATTATCTGCTGAACAATATTTACTTAATCTCTTCCTATGACCGGATATGAGCGTAGCAATCGAACGATTCTTTTTTTCCAAAAAAATTTTGCGCCCTTGCTTTCATTTAGGGGTTACTCTTCATATCGTATTGCTTCACAAGTATAAGTCAGTATTTTTTTAGTCTCTTCAGGTCGCAGCATTTGAAATGTGTCCTTAAGGTTACAAATACGAGTTGGCGAGTATGAGAATTTTTCTTAGATTTATTTATTTTTTATTTTTTTACGATTCAGAATTGGCAATGCGGGGTGGTTTTTATTGTCATAAATTATGCAAAATGATCGACATGTATGACAATGCATAAACAATGAACTTATTAATAAAGAAACGACAATAAAAATATAATTTTTTTTCTTTTAAATTTTCAAAAATGTTCAACAGTAAAGATAAAAGTGTAATAAAAAGACTTAAAAATATATTTACCAAAGCAAACAAAAGTAATAAAAAAGTTCTAGATGAAGATGGTAAGCGTAATGATTTTAACAAGTTGTTTTGACGGACTTGAGATGATTTATATATATTTTTCTTATAACATTAGAGCCAGTTTCGGATGCTCCAGATGCTCCTACTTAAAAGAATTAGAAGGTATGAACCTTTTCTATTTACTAAGTCAAACTATAATTCTTTAATAATAAAGATTTTTTTTTAAAAAAAAATAAAATTCAATGGTTGGTGATATGATATAGAATGTAAGTCATTTAATTTTCCTATCGATATATTTTAACAAGTAAACTAAACTTTTATTGAATTTCTAATGTTTGATTATACTAGGGAGTAAGTTGTAATTCTTTATATTGTAATTTAAAACTTGACTAATTTATTTTAAAAAAAAATTTTAAATGGTTAAACATTTTAGTCCGTAAGTTATAATTATTAATTAAATCTTAACTAAATTTTATATAAAATATTATAGGTCGTAAGTTATGTTTTGCTTTTTAATCATTTAAATAAGCTAAATTAATATATATTGATAATATTACAGAAAGTAAGTTGATTATCATAAGTTTCGACGAATCAAATTAATTTTGTATAATTTTTAAAATAAATTTATAATGATTTAGATGTAAGTTATTTTACTGTTATTTAAACTCAACTAAATTTTTTATTTAAAAAAATATTTAAAAAACTACAGTGGGTAAGTTATTTTTATTGATTATTAATATTTAATTACACTTTTTATTGTAATTTAAATTCAATTAAATTCTTATTTAAAATAATATTTAATAATTAATAATGCAATAGATGGTAAGTTATTTATTGATTAATTAGTATTTAATTATACTTTTATTATAAACTAAATTCAATTAAATTCTTATTTAAAATAATATTAATAATTAATAATGCAGTAGATAGTAAGTTATTTTTATTAATTATTAGGATTTAATTATACTTTTTTCTGCAGATTAAAGTTAACTAAATTTTTGATTTAAAAAAATTATTAATAATATAATATATGGTAATTTATTTTTATTAATTATCAGTATTTAATTATACTTGTTATTGTAATTTAAAGTTAACTAAATATTTATATAAAAAAATATTTAAAATATTAAAGGGGTAAGTTATTTTTATTGATTAATTAGTATTTAATTATAAATTTTTACTGCAACTTAAATTCAACTAAATTTATTATTTAAAAAAATATTTAAATTTAGATTGTAAGTTATTTTTATTAATTATTAGTATTTTATTATACTTTTTTACTGTAATATAAATACAACTTAAGTTTTTATTTAAATAAATATTTAAATTTAAATCATAAGTTATTGATTATTAGTATATATATTATTATATTATTTACTAAAGATGGTGCTACAATTAGTTGCAACCATGTGATGCTTATTTATAATCAATTGCAACTAGTTGCAACTCAATTTTTATTAATATTATTGCAACCTGTGATGCTTATTTGTCACAAGTTGCAACCAGTTGCAATGCCATCTTTATTATTTACTGTAGCTTAAACTCAACTAAATTTTTTATTTAAAAAATATTTAAATTTAGTTTATAAGTTATTGATTATTAATATTTTATTATATTTTTATTATAATTTAAACTCAACTAAATTTTTTATTTAAAAAAATATTTAAATTTAATTTATAAGTTATTGATTATTAATATTTTATTATACTTTTTACTATAATTTAAACTCAACTAAATTATTTATTTAATAAAATATTTAAATTTAGATCACAAGTTATTATTATTAGTATTTTATTATACTTTTTACTATAATTTAAACTCAATTAAATTCTTATTTAAAATAATATTTAATAATTAATAATACAATAGAAGGTAAATTACTTTTATTGATTATTAGTATTTTATTATACTTTTTACTGTAATTTAAATTCAATTAAATTCTTATTTAAAATAATAATTCAATAAATGGTAAGATATTTTTATTGATTATTAGAATTTTAATTATACTTTTTACTATAATTTAAACTCAACTAAATTTTTTATTTAAAAAAATTTATTTTTGATTATAAATTATTGATTATTAGTATTTTATTATACTTTTACTGTAATTCAAACTCAACTAAATTTTTTATTTAAAAAAAATTTTAAATTAGATTGTATGTTATTGATTATTAGTATTTTATTATACTTTTTATTGTAATTTAAACTCAATTAAATTTAGTTTGTAAGTTATTGATTTTTAGTATTTTATTATACTTTTTACTGTAATTTAAACTCAACTAATTTTTATTTAAAATATTTAAATTTAGATTGTAAGTTATTGATTAATAATATTTTATTATACTTTTACTATAATTTAAACTCAACTAAATTTTTTATTTTAAAAAAATTTAAATTTAAATTGTATATTATTGATTATTAGTATTTTATTATACTTTTTATTGTAATTTAAACTCAATTAAATTTAGCTTATAAGTTATTGATTTTTAGTATTTTAATATACTTTTTACTGTAATTTAAACTCAACTAATTTTTTATTTAAAATATTTAAATTTAGATTGTAAGTTATTGATTAATAGTATTTTATTATACTTTTACTATAATTTAAACTCAACTAAATTTTTTATTTAAAAAATATTTATATTTAGATAGTAAGTTATTAATTATTAGTATTTTATTATACTTTTACTGTAATTCAAACTCAACTAAATTTTTTATTTAAAAAAACATTTAAATTTAGATTTTATGTTATTGATTATTAGTATTTTATTATACTTTTATTGTAATTTAAACTCAATTAAATTTTTTATTTAAAAATTTATTTAAATTTAGTTTATAAGTTATTTTAATTGATTATTAATATCTAATTATACTTTTATTATTATTTAAATTCAATTAAATTTTTATTTAAATAATAATTTAATAATTAATTATATATAATAGATAATAAGTTATTTTTTATTTAATAATTATAATAAATATTAAATATATTAATATAAAATTATTATTTTAAAAAAAAAGAAAATTGTTTTAATTGTAATAACAAGAATACTGAATATAATTAATGTAATATATGTTATTCTAAATTATTTCAAAAGAATTTTTTTAACTAGACTAGTAATAATGAATTTATTGATAAATTTATTCAAAAAATTCAAATAAATGCTCAAAATAAATAGAATGGATTTCTTATAATAAATTTAAAAATATTAAATATCTTGATAAAGAAGGATTTAGTATTATATATAAAACTACTTGGATTGATAAATTTATTACAAATTATTTATATGATGATAATAATTGAATTAGATTTAGTGTAATTGATGTAATTCTTAAAATTTTTGATAAATCAGTAAATTTAAATAAAGAATTTCTAAATAAAGTAGAATATTATTTATTATTTTTAAACTTTAAATAATAAGTTATAAATTAATTTATTTTTATTTTAGTGAAAATATTATTATAAATATTATAGTCAATTAAATTTTTATTCAAATAAAAATCTTATTCAAATATATAGTATTACTTAAGATTTAAATACATTAAATTATATTGTAATAATACAATATGCATAAAATAATAATTTAAAAAAAAATTTATTAAATATAATTAAAGATAAATGGATTATAAAATTATTAAAATTAGTTAATATTATTAGTGATTTAATGAAATTTATCAAAAAAATCTAATTTATTGTGATCTTTATCATAGTAATATTTTAAATATTAGAAGAGATATTTTATTTATTAGTGATTTAGGATTAAGTAAACCTGTAGATTATTTTTAAACTTCTATTAAAAATGATATATATGTTGTTTTACTATTTGTAGTATCTGAAGTTTTAAGAGAATAATCTTATATATTAACTAGTGATATATATAGCTTTTTTATAATTATGTAGAATTAGTATTTAAAATTCCTTCATTTGATAATAAAACTCATGATTTTAAGCTTAGCTTAAATATTTATAAAGATAAATGATCTTTAATTATTAAAATATTCCACAATGTTATATTTAGTTAACTAGGATTTGATTTTTACTGTAGATGACTATATTATCTACTATTTTATTTTGTATTTTAATAAAAATAATTTTATTAATATTTAGATTTAAATAGGTAATCTAATTTCTGATTATTTCTCTAGTCTAATATATTTTTTCTTTATCCTTTCATTAACTAAAAATGCATCAGATGTAAGAGCCAAAATTTTTATATTATTCCAAGATTTACACTTACTTAAAGATATATATGATTGGCCTTACGTGAATATTTAATTATTTAAATAAAGTGAAGTCTGTAGTAATATTATCACTTATGTTTTATAAACTATTAAGGTAAAGTATTTTATAATAAAAGTTGAATTTTACATACTGGTATTTATTAATATTGAAATGTGCAGTTTCTTGTTTTATTTCAATATCAATAATTCTTTTATTTATACAAAATGCTACTCTTACTATTTCTCTATTTTTATAAATATCTATAATAATACCAATGGTACTATTACAAATTTGCTTACTAATAAATTTGTTGTTATGAAATATTACTCAATAACCTATTTGCAATCTTATAAAAAATAGTAAGTTTATTTTATATTTCATTAAATATTCTAAACTTTCATGTTCTTGTACTTCTCCATTAATGATATCTTTTGAATATGAAATTAAATATTTTTCATTTACA